TCTTGGGCTTTTGGTCTTTTAGTTTGGGCCTTAGTCTTGGGCCAAGTTTGAGGATGGGTAAAAAGGTCTTTTACCCTAAATTGTACTTATGGTGTGATTTAGGAACTAGTTATTGATGGGTTGTCATTTGTGGTATTTGATATTGCGGGCTCTAGCGGCTCTGTAGTCAGAGATCGTTCGAGGGAGCAGTTGTTGATGGAGTGTTGGCTTAGTATTTGCAGCTAGGGATCGTATATATGAATCAGAAGTGAGATGTGAGTTTTCTTTACTGTACTTGCAGGTCGAAGGCACCAATATCGGCCTAGTGGATTGATATCCTGTTATGCATGTTCTTGTGTTGTTATGATCTATTAGATTGGTATCCTGGTAGATAGGATGATGCTATGCTTAGTGATTTGTTAGATTTGTTTGACTGGTTGTGACAACCCGAATTTTTTTTTCTTTGAAAGATCAGTCAGTCAACTCAACTCCATGTTAGACTCATTTTGCTATCTTTTAGCGTGGTTTATGGTCTATTTGAGTGTTCTAAACCTAGTACAATCAAGGTAGGACCCTAGAAATGGGCTGAATCGAGTCATAGAAAGCAAATTCGGGCCAAACACTCCAACATGTGGAGTGTGCGGCCATACACCCATCTCAGCCACACACTCTTGCCTATATAAGCCATCCTTAGTCACTTTTGAACACTTTTCCCACTCCTTCAAAGCTGGAACATGTTTTTCTCTCAAGTACCATCCAAATCTTCATCTCGATCTTCATAAAAGTAAGTAATCCTTCCTTTGATTTGTTGATTCTTGAACTTAACCATCCTTCTTCCCTACTTTGATCCATGAAAAACACGTTTTTGGTGTTAGATCTTCAAGAACACCAAGAACACACACTAAACTTTTTGGAGTTTAACCATACTTCTAAGCCTCTAGATCATATAAACACTAATCATAGCTTGTTATATTCCAAGAACACTTGATGATCTACTAGAAAGACGCCATTTCTCATGATCTTCAAGAGTGTATGGCCACACACACCATGTGTACGGCCGCACACACCTTATGCAACCATACATGCCCCTTTTAAGTCCTAAAATGGAAATAAACTCCATATAAGGCTAGAACATGAAGTAAGAAACCTTCCTAGATGAGTCCTAAGGCCTTAAAATATGTTTTTGACACACTTCATACGGAGTGTGCAGTCGCACGCACACACACCAATATGGTGTATTTTGACCATACACTCCACTGTATAGCCATACACCCCTTATATACAATCATATATCGTTGTAGCACTTCAATATAAGTGTTTAATAGTCCCTAAGGTTGTCCCAAGGCAATAATTATTTGTTACAAAAACTAATTGTCTACATATACATGTCATTATATGGTTAATATGATTCGTTTGTGCTCAAGTCCGCAACTGACACTCAACCTCCTAAACCGATCCTACCATCGCATCACTCATCACAGGTGAGTTCATACCCCGCAATGAATCTTTTAACTGTTTCAAATACTTTAAGGGGGGATACAAGTTGAACACAATTATAACTGTGTAAAATTTTTGTTATATACATCTTTCAAAATACTGCTTATGTCCTTTATAAGTGATCAAAACATTTCAAAAACTCTTTTAAGTTATGTTGCTTTATAGTTTAACAAAACTCCGTTTTTAACATACAAGCATAACTTAGCAGATAAATGAGTCTTTTCAATAATAGTTCAAGTAGAATACTAGTAAACTATAATGGGTATAGTTTAGGGGTTCACCTTATACTAGATACAATACACGATAACAAAAAGAACATACTAAGATACTATAACAAAACGAACATACTAAGATGCTATAGCATGGAACACTTACAGGATCTAACTATACCAATGAATCACTAACGCATTGTTCTAAACAAAAGGTGATAGTTATATTGGGTATACATGAACATATAATTTTAATGTGGATGTTCACGACTTGCAATTGATTGCAGAGGTCGCGTTTGGTTCCTAGAATCTTTTGACAGGGAGAGTGTTTAGTATGACATCTAGCCATCACATTATACCTTAATACTCAATTTAACGCAATTAGTACAATAGTAGTCACTTTATACAATACTACAGTACTTACATTTTACCAACGACAAACAGAACAGTCGGTCTAGTACATTCAGTAGAAAAGGACCATAATGCTAACCTTATGATTCCTTAATGTATACCTCAAGGGATATATATAAATAAGGATCTGACAGATAATAGGATGTGTGCTTCCCACTTCATTTCCTGTTCCTTATTTGGTTGTGGGCTTAGAGCAGATTCACCCAGCCTAGTATCTATTCGATTTTAGTTATATGTATGTTCTGTACACATTAAATCATCATAAGGGGTACCAAGTATGGGTCAAGTCATAGGACACTAATTCAATGCACAATTTTATAGTACAAAACATACTTTTCTAACAGAACATTCGGTATTCAAAACTAGAAACTTACCGGTAAAGGGTTTAATCCATTTTATTAAACCATCATCTTAAAGGACCTTAGGTAGTTAACTTTATAATACCTTAGTTTATACATCAAAGGTTATATATAAATAATATCTAATAGGTAGTTGGATGTGTGCCCTCCGCCTCATTCCTAGTTCCTTGTTTGGTTGTGGGCTTAGGGAAGATTCACACAATTAACTATCTGTTCGATATTAGATTATATATAGCTAGTATAAACTAAGTGATTATAGAAGGAACTACTGTGGTTACTATTTTATTATAAGAAATAAGGGTTTTCTTAAAGAATCTTTTCATAAATTATAAAGGAACTATTACAGTTAACTCCGTGAGTACCAAGGGAATACGTCAGGGTTATATACAACAAGGATCTAACAACCAATGAGATGTGTGTCATACGCCTCATTCCATGTTCCTTGTTTGGTTGTGTGCTTAGGGCAGATACACACAATTGATTGCTTGTTTACACTGGGTTTTATATAACTTGAATCCATTTAGTACTCATAGAAAGAATTGCAGAGTCATTTTTACGCATCTTTCAGCAAAGCATGAAATATAGGATTTTCTGGAGTAACAGGCGAACTTTTCTAAACATAACTTACAACTTACTACATTTTACAACTACATTTTTCAACAACTTTCTACAAATTAATTACATTACTAACATCTTATGAACTCACTAGCTTAATTGCTGACCAACTCTTTTAAATAACTTGTATTCTCAGGAAACTAGTAGATAGGTACTCGCGCTGGGAATTCAGAAGATGAAGCAGTATAGCTTCAAGTCTTGTTTTGTTATTTGTTTATGTACTCTATGTTTTGTGAACACATCCTTATAAACACTTCCTTTCTAATAAAATGGTTGTTCATTACTTGCTTACTATGATACATGTCTTGTGATACTAAACATTACGTCCTCCACCCCCGAACGTTTCTGCCGTTCCGGTTTTGGGGTGGGACACTGGTTGTAGACTCTTATATGATTATCTGCTATATATGCATATGATTGATTGGTGGCTAAGGCTTCTTTGCTTTGTGCGTAAGCCAACAGGTCGGGGCATTCCAACCTGGTAGTTGAGGGTTGAGAGTATTCCAACCCCATGGTTGATTGGACCCATAGTATGTTGGCATTCCAACACGATGGTTGAGGGCCTAGGGTATTCCAACCTGATGGTTGATTGGATGCATAGTATGTTTGTGACAACCCGAAATTTCCATTCTGAACAAACCATATCAAGCCAATAGATGTAGATCAGTTACAGTGAAAATTCAGACTCCGAGTGTAAGTTAGGCAGTTTTCAGTATTTACACTTAAGAAGATATTAGGAGAGTGGTTGCACTAGGGTTATGTGCAACACTGTTATTCCATTACTCTAGGACATTAGAGTTCGTTCCAGGAATAAAAATATTTTCTGCCAAAAATATTTCAGGATTATAAATAGAATTCTGAACCAAATTGGTTCATTAGTTGAATTCCAATTAGAGAAAAGCCAAATTCTCTCTCACCGATCTTTGGGTTTTTATCCCAGATTGTGAGTATACTTCCCTAGTTATGTTATAATGCTTGTTTTATGCTTATTAACATAGATTATATGTCAAATATATGAGATCCGGGAGTTTACCGCCCAAGAACGTTCTTGGGGAGTAAACTCCAAAACGGAGCTTAAAGGCCATTTAGTCCCATTTCCTTGTTAGGTAACTAGCTTAGGGTATTGTGTATGATCATTAGAGACTAGAAATCAATCAAGAACACATAGGGTATATGAGTTTACGGCCCAAGAGTTCTTGGACCGTAAACACCATTTTCAAGGGCTTAAATGTGCCCTAATCATCCCAAAGGCTTGGACTCTATTTTAGACAAATACCCTAAAGTGTTTAGAACCTAGAAAACTCATGGAAACACAAGTGTGGAAGAGTTTACGGCCAAGAGTATTTCTTGAGCTGTAAACTCCTTTAAAGGGGTCAAAGGACACCCTAAATCCTTCCTTAAACCAAGAGACAATTTGGACATGAACCTAGATGAGTTTTGGACTAGTTAAAATACTTAGAACACCAAGAGTGAGAGACTTTACGGCCCAAAAGGTTCTATGGCCGTAAACTCCATAAAATGGTGCTAAATGTGCCATAAACTCTTCTAAAGCCAAGTACCAAAGCCTATATTTGTTCCTAGTTAAATTAGAGACTTGAAAGCACCATATAAACCCTCCCAAGGGAGTTTA